TGTCTGGGTAAGCAGGGCGACGTGTAGTTTTGTCTGTTGTTGTTGGTGCGGTATTGTTGGGTATGTGGGGGGGGGGGGGGGGGGGGGGGGGGGGGGGGGGGGGGGGGCTTAACAAAACTTTCTTTTATCTTCACAAAAAATGTAAATATTGAATTTAGCAGTAGCTTTTACAATCATAGGTGACGGAAAGTTTTCAATCTAGAGCAGGCTCAACAATTTTTTATAAGATCATTACTTCTTATTTCCTACTCTTATGTTGCACTGTATGAAGATAATATGACTTAGACAAAGAAAATCACAACTTCTGTCAAAAGACGAGTATTTAAAGAAACACGATCTTTTTCTTTTTTATTTTACCTCTTCAAAAAAAAAAAAAGAATTTTCGATCTTCCTTACTGTAAAGTAAAATAGGCGCCAGTGTTCACAAAAGAAAGTAATAACAGTGTAGGTTTGTTCACATTATTAAAAATTTTTTTCGGGCATATAAGTCTAGCTGCTGAAGTCGAAAAAAAATTTCATCAATTTATTTAACTTAAGTTCTCTGTACAATTCTTTTTGACTTGTAACAAAAAAAAAGTATACTTCTATAAGTCATTAGTAAGTGTGGACCCATAATTTAGTCATAGAAAATTTAATTTTTAATCAAGAGCGTTTTTTTCAAGTTTGCTTTACTAAAAAAATTTTGACGTTTGTATAAGAATTCTGATTGCAATAAATTTTTCATTGTAATCGTATGATAAAAACAAATATTTGAGCGTACTAAAGCATCGTCTATGTTTACAATTCAAATAATAACTTACAATAATCAACAGATTGATTTTGACTTGATATTTGACCGGTCATAGTATCAGATGAAGTTTTATTTCTAAAGAAACATAAACATTATAATCTGAAAGAAAAATATTCAAACTACTTACTCTAAAACTGTTTGTTTTTCATGATCAGTAAGAATTCTTTCATCAGAAAATAGAATTGTATTAAATGGTACTTTTTGTTTACGTTTTCCATCATGATTTTCACTCATTTTATCTAATATACCCGTCCAAACAAGTAAATCATCAACAAGTAACTAAGAAAATAAATTATAATATTTCGTTTTTTTTTTTAGAAACTTAATCTTCTAAAATAATCATACATACAGAAAATTCTCTTACACCACGATTAGATGTTTTAGTATAATTCCATATTTTTATCATCGATACAGATGTTGGTCGATCGAATATAACAAAAACTCGATTAATCTTAAGGAAAATTATACATTTTGTATTTATTCAATATTTTAATCAATCTACATACCACATTTGGTAAAATAGGTGCAACCCAAGAATGTGTACCATCAATATCATTATTTTCACCATCGATTAATTTATCTGGTGTACGAACATCATCATCCGTACCTGGATTAAGTGTATTTACACTATGTGGACAAGCAGCAATATCTATTAATAAAATAAAATTATTTTTTCTTATTGTTGTCGATTATTTTTTCCTTTTATTTAAATTCATTACTTTGTTCAGCTAAACCAATTTGTTCACCATTTTCATCATAAAATTCTAAACCATTCAATCCAATATAATAAGCATCACCATGTGTTGAATGAAGTTGAAATTCAAAAATAACTAAAAATAAAAATTTTCTACTTAAATTTATTTTTTTGTATTGATTATAGTCAAATAAAGATGAGAATATTCATTATTTATAATATCATTATAATTTTCTTATGAAAAAATTCTATTCTTTAATAATAGTATATATTCAATTCAATTAAGGTATTACCAATAAAACTTCGATATTAAATCTAATTTATTAGAAAGAAGTTAGCTTGACTCGAATGTCTACAGATTTCAATTATTACGATGTTTTTTCCTTTAACTGCGATTACATAAGATAATGTTTAACCTAATGCTGTTATTTCATTAAAACTATGATTTATTGCTCGTTACTGACAACCACGATTATACATATCAGTGTGATAGCCCTTATCTTTGTATCGAAAGATATGAGTTTTTTTGTTCTAGAAGAAAACATTTATCAAAACATCCTGAAGATTCAGATAAAATCCTGACACTCTCGATTAAAAGCATTATCTTGTTTTTTTTTCATCTAATGAAGGAACGATTTTAACTGATCAATCTTTTTCTCACCAAAACCTACTGGATTGTAGACTATCGATCATGCTTATTTCAAATATCACCATCATATCGAGTTGTCGTTGTATTATTTCCAAAAACAAACAATCGATTTAAAACAGAAAAGTTACTGCTAATAGTTTACAAACCATATAGCTTACGATTAGCAGGGGGAAGTAGGGTGATTTCCCCCTTCTAGATTTATTCTTACATTCTGCCTTTCTTCCGGGAAAATTTTCTGTTATGGAGAGCTAACGGTTTTTAATCTTTCGGTGGACTAGATTGGCTATGCATAAGCGAAGTTCTGTTTCCAATTCTTTTAAGAGAACAACCTATTTTCTTTCAAAGAGAAAATAAATAAAACTCAAACAGAAACTGAAACAGGTCAAAGAGAAAAAAACCTAGGCTGCCACTAGAGCAAAGCTCGAATAGACAAGGCGGCTGACTGTACGAGCCCGAAAAATGCGAGAGCACGACTGTATACGATATATGCTATTTCAAAATCTTAGACTCAGATAAAGGAAATCATTAGGAATTTAAGTCTCTTTCTGATATCTTGACTCAACTGACAAGTGAGAAATAATGAATTTCAAACTGCTATTGTTATATAAAGAAAATCGCAGCTGTCAGGCCATACGATTAGGAAGTGGAAGATGGGAATTTTCCTCTCACCTAATTCTTTTCTTGCGTTCTGCCTTTCTCCCGGGAAATTTTTATTAGCTGCTGTTTAGCGAGTTTTTCGGTATTTTTAATAGAGGAAATTCACCAAAACCATGCAAAAGAGAAAGCTTTCTACCTAGTTTTCAAAGAGAAACAGTCCTGTTCTTCTAAAGAGAAACTTTATTTCAAGATTTCAAAGAAAAGCATCTGTTTTTGAGAAAGATAATGCGTTCTCTTTAGGTTTTCAAGGAGAATCAAGCACTTTCTCCCTGACTTTGGGAGACTTTCTTCCTCTTCTGAATAAAACCAAACGAAAGCTCTGAAAATCCAGTAACTTTCGTTAAAAAAACTGTTAGATCTTTCAGAAATGCAATAAGAAATTATAACGAAACGTTATTGATATTCAATCGTTGATCGTATATCAACAACGTCTGTCACGTTTTGTATACGAGGAGGTCTGAAAGTGGATCTAAGTTAATCAATTGAAAATTTTCGTCATAAGATAAAAGTTTGATTCATATTAATAACTTACATCCATTTGGCATTGATATATCTGAAGCACTATCACGA